TATGACTGCCCCAGGTACATACGGTATAGAATTGGTGTGTGTTCCACTGCAGTAAGACAAATTGCTGTATTTAACATGCAAAAAACATTAAAAAGTTTACTTTAATCACAATAAAAGGCTTTAAAGCCCACTTAAATTTCCAGTTTAAACTAAATACATTCCAGACGCAGAAAAACAAAATATATTTAAAGTTTTAAAGTGGAACTAAACCTAACCAGTGCAAAGTTGTGAGCAGGCAGTTCTTTATTGCAGAAGAGTCATGCTATGTCACATCTGCATAACAAACACAGTCACATCGCTGGAAGGTGAGTATTTTTTAGGGTTTAGTTCTGCTTTAAATTTTCTTTAGAAATGAGTCACAGTCCAAGTAGAAAAGCATGTCTCTCGCCAGCAACGGCAGAGTGGGACCCTTGTTGTCTGTGTAGAAACAGCAGACTTACTGTAGAGGTCTGACACCCCTCCCTATTGAGTTAACATTCATATATTTCCAATCAGCAGAGAGCAAGCTCTAAACAGGCTTTCAGACTGGCCTGACTCAGCAGGGGTGTGATGGATCTCTACAGAGAGACCACTGCTTCTCCAAAGAGAGCAAAGGAACTCAGAATGCTGGCAGGGAAAAGGCTTTCCTACTTACGTTGTAGCTACTTTCTGAGGGAAATGAACTTTAACCCCTTGGAGCCGGCGCCTCCTGGCCCTTTAAAGGTTTCAGAAGCCGGGAGGTGGGGCGGGGTTTAAGGTCATGTGACCGCAGTGACACGCCGTCACATGATCTGGAAAGAGTAGATCAGGACCTTTCTGTGAGTACTGGACATGTGTGCTGGGAGCGCGGAGGGCATACGCTTTCAGCACATATGTTGTTCTTTAATAGAAGACAAATGTGCAGCCGCTTGGCATCTAGACCCAGACGCCGGGAGGCCGCATATTTGCGTTCACCGGTGCCAAGAGGTTAAGACACTGAGCATGCTTTGTTTGGATGCACATGAAATGTATTTAGCTAATTTACACTGGGCTGGGCTTTAAAGGAGAACACTTATTTGGCTGTACCTCTGTGGATCACAGGAGTGCGGTTCGTTCTGCACTCCTGTGACCTGTTTTTAGCCAACAGCAGGCTAAAGTCCGCTGACGGCTAATGTCACTCAGCCAGTTTAGAGCTGGGTATAGAACTTGACTATATGGTCAGGATCCACTCCGCGAGCTGCTGAGAGCCTGAGCCAGCCACTCCGGGCGCCCCCCTCTACAGGCCAGAACACCAATGACCGCTGGGGGGGGGGGACAAAGCAAATTACCAGAGACTGAAAGTCCCAGAACTGAACAATCAGCTGTGTTTGATCGCTCAGTTCTCACCTCTAGAACTGGCAGGGGATCGATGCTGCATCCAACCTAGGTAAGTATAATTTTAAAAAAATCCCATACTTCTCTTTTAAAGTGGTATTAAACCCAAAACAGAAAATGTATTGTAATCATTATACATGGTAGCTGCATCAATTTTCTTTTCTTTCGCTTTTTTCCCCTCTGTTTTCACCTGGTGATTTGGCCAGTAACACACCTCCGGTATTAGTGAGACACCACTCTGGAGGAATGAGTACACGACACAGCAGACAGCAGCATTGTCTGGGGGGGATGGGAGTGTTATTGTGAATGTATTAGTAGATTTGAATACAAGTAACATGTTGAAGCCAAACTCCAGCAAACGGTTACAGCAATTTTTTTCCCCCATAAATAAAGCTAACCGTTTTTATCATCCATGCCAGTCGTAAATGGACGGTCTCATCCATGTAAGCCAGTGGACTCCAAACTGCAGCCTTCAGCCCTCAGGGTACTATTCCTCCCACTGACACCAGCAAGGAGGCACCATTTCATCCACTAGCACCAGCTATGGAGCATTTTTCCTTTCACTGACACCAATGATGGGGCACAATTCCTCTCACTGATATAAACAATTAGGTACTATTCCTCCAACTAATAGCAAGGATGGGGCACTATTCCTTCCTCTGATACCAATGATGGGGCACTATTCATCCCACGGACACCAATGATGGGGCACTATTCATCCCACGGACACCAATGATGGGGCAGTATCCCCCCCCCACTGATACCAATGATGGGGCACTATTCCCCCCCCCCCCCACTGCTACCAATGACGGGGCACTATTCCCTCCCACTGCTACCAATGACAGAGCACTATTCCTCCCACTGCTACCAATGACGGGGCACTATTCCTCCCACTGCTACCAATGACGGGGCACTATTCCTCCCACTGCTACCAATGATGGGGCACTATTCCCCCCCCACTGATATCAATGATGGGGCACTATTCCTCCCACTGATACCAATGATGGGGCACTATTCCTCCCACTGATACCAATGATGGGGCACTATTCCTCCCACTGATACCAATGATGGGGCACTATTCCCCCCCACTGCAACCAATGACGGGGCACTATTCCCTCCCACTGATACCAATGACGGGGCACTATTCCCTCCCACTGATGCCAATGACGGGGCACTATTCCCTCCCACTGATGCCAATGACGGGGCACTATTCCCTCCCACTGATACCAATGACGGGGCACTATTCCTCCCACTGATACCAATGATGGGGCACTATTCCTCCCACTGATACCAATGATGGGGCACTATTCCTCCCACTGATACCAATGATGGGGCACTATTCCTTCTTTCACTGACTACAAGCACTATGTCATTTTTTTTACTCCCTTCTAAGGACTGAATGACAGTAAACCAACCCTTTGTTTAGAAAGTTTGGAGACCCCTGATGTAAGCTGATACATTCTGCTAGAACTTGAACTTCTGAAACCCAGCAGAATTGCTGGTTGAATAACCAGATGAAAATAAAAGAAGAAAGCAAAAATAAAAGAAAACGAATGCAGCCATCATATCTAAGAATTGGTAGGCTGCAATAGAATAAATGTTTGCTATTGGGTTTAATACTGCTTTAAGAGTCATAGAACAATAGCAGAAACAGGTAAAGGGTTACTATTCTAACAATGCAGTTTGTATTTGGTCCAGAGTCTACCTTTAAATCCTGGATGGAGTCTCAGTGTTCTAGCATTTGCTGATCAGAGCTAGCAAAAGATAAAAGAGAAGACTAATGGAAAATTCAGAGGCATCGTGTGAGCCACGAGGACTAAATAGTTTTTTTTCACTCTTTCTTCCACTGAAGCCTCTTTGTTTTCATCTGCTACTGTCCGTAGACAAGGCCAGTATGGACGTCAACATTCCTCTGACTGGCTTTGCAGAATGATCCCTCTCAGGGATCCAGTGACCCAAAGCAGTCAGGACCTCGTATGGAGGAATGAATAGACTGCTGGATAATTAAAGCCATCAGTCTGGAGCGCAGACAAACCGAGAGCGTTTGTAAATTTCTCCGTTTGCTTCACTTGGATGTTCTGCATTTAGCTGCTTCTGTTATGGTGGATTGTGTGCCAGACCAAGCACTTGAAATCCTCGGCACATCATTCCAATGGAAAATGATGGAATGTAGAAGGAGCCATATGATATTTTCTTTTTTTTTTTTTTTAGGACTTTCTGATGTGCCAAACAAAAAATAGTTCAGTCATTCTGTGTAATTTGCCCAAATAAGGACTCTGAATGGCAATGTAAGGATAAAGAGGGCAAATATATTATTGTTTTCTTTGCAGAAGGCCCTTTCAGCTTTTATTTCAAGTCCAGTTAAAGAAGAAGTGTGGCCATAGTTCATCTGGTCATACTTCTGTAGATCACAGGAGTACACTTAGTTCTGCATGCCTGATTCAGCTGACAGCAGGCTTTAACCCGCTGTCACAGAGCCGATCCAGGCTCTGCAGGGATCCTAATAATAACGTTGGGATCCACATAGATGCCTGACCGGCAGATGGCTTAGCCTCTCAGCACGCTGCAGACAGCCTGAACCAGCTGATCCTGCTCCATCCACAGTCCGGAACTCCAGTGAACGCTGGAAGGGCAGAGTACAGAGCAGTGCCTGACAGCCACCACTGTGTGCTCAGAGCAGACCCAAGACCTGAGTAATCAGTGGTCTTTGATCACTCAGTTCTTGGTGTAGAGACAGCAGGGGACAGATGCAGAAACTGATCCATGCTGCATTTAAATAAGTGAGTATGAATGTTTTTTTTTTTTTTTTTTTTAATCCCGCACTTCACTTTTAAAGTGATACTAATGTCTTTTTTTTTTTAAAATAACAAATGTGTACTTACCTGCTGTGTGCAGTGGTTTTGCACAGAGCAGCCCCGATCTTCCTCTTCTCTGCTCCCCCACCGGCGCTGCTGGCCCTTCTCTCTAGTCAGGGGCCCCCACAGAAAGCAGCTTGCTATGAGGGCACCTGAGCAGGCGCACTCCCAATCTCTGTGTGTCCATTCACACACACAGCCATGGCCCCGCCCTCTCCTGATTGGCTTACTGGCTGTGATTGCCAGCAATGGGAGCCGATGGCTCCCGATGCTGCCTCAGCCAATCAAGAATGAGAGTCTCTGGAGAACCAAGGCTTTCATGGACATTGGTGGATAGGGATGGGGCTCAGACAAGTGTTAGGGGGGCTGCTACACACAGGTTTATTACCTTCATGAATAGAATGTAAAAAGGTAAAAGACCGTAAGCCTTTAGAACCACTTTAATGTTACAAAACAGACCACATATAGTGCAGGCAGGGTCCCGGGAGACCGCATATAGTGAATGCAGGGTCCGGGGAGACCACATATAGTGAATGCAGGGTCCGGGGAGACCACATATAGTGAATGCAGGGTCCGGGGAGACCACATATAGTGAATGCAGGGTCCTGGGAGACCACATATAGTGAATGCAGGGTCCTGGGAGACCACATATAGTGAATGCAGGGTCCGGGGAGACCAGATATAGTGAATGCAGGGTCCTGGGAGACCAGATATAGTGAATGCAGGGTCCGGGGAGACCAGATATAGTGAATGCAGGGTCCTGGGAGACCAATATAGTGAATGCAGTGGGGAGATATAGTGGATGCAGGGTCCTGGGAGACCAGATATAGTGAATGCAGGGTCCTGGGGAGACCACATATAGTGGATGCAGGGTCTGGGGAGACCAGATATAGTGAATGCAGGGTCCTGGAGAGACCAGATATAGTGGATGCAGGGTCTGGGGAGACCAGATATAGTGAATGCAGGGTCTGAGGAGACCAGATATAGGAATGGGGGGGAGACCAGATATAGTGGATGCAGGGTACGGGGAGACCAGATATAGTGGATGCAGGGTACGGGGAGACCAGATATAATGAATGCAGGGTCCAGACCATATAATGAATGCAGGGTCCGGGGAGACCAGATATAGTGAATGCAAGGTCCAGGGAGCGTGGATATATTGAATGCAGGGTACGGGGAGACCAGATATAATGAATGCCGGGGAGACCAGACCAGGATATAGTGGATGCAGGGTCCTGGGACAACATATAGTGGATGCAGGGTCCTGGGTTTAGTAACACTTTAATATCAACTAGTTCAGGTTTACATTTACTTTAGGCAGCAAATGTTTAGATGGGTATTGAGCACCTTGCACTGTCTGCTGCAAGCATTGCCTTGCACACTTCTGAATCCCAGGCCTTAATGAGCTCTTAAATACAGAGCTACAACCATTGAACAGCAGCCTATGTGCTGACAGCTCAGTGTTAGATCCAAGCAAACAACAGAGGCTGCGATATGGAAGCTTCTTATCTCCATTGCTACTTCCTTACTTGGCCAGGCAATGCCGCTATCAGTGATTATTTGCAGACACCACTGACGTGCTCCTAAATTTGGATACTACTCACGGTTTCTTTGAAGGAGGAGTTTAGCCAACGGTTTTTCACAACATTCTGTATTGATAAGGGTGGATTTTCCAGATCTTCTAAAGAATCTATTACAATAAAGTCCAGGAAAATGTCATAGAAGTTCATGTTTCTCACCTGCAGGCACATTGAACACATTAGTGGAATTTCACAATGCTTTTTTTCTTTAACAAATTTTACTTTTTTACTTAAAGTGGAACATCACTCTCTCAATCAACATTGACTATTTTTATATAGATGGTAAACTAGATCATAATTTATTTGTCCTAAATTTTTTTTTTTTACATTTGTTCAGTCACCTCCTAGTTTTCATGCCTAGGCAAATATATACATCCCAGAAGCCTTCAGGAGGAAGGAGGAGTTTTCTCAGCTAAGCGCACCCTACTGCCTGCCTCAGCCAAGGGCAGGTGAATTCCAGGCAGTAAATGCTACATGAATCATCTGCCCTTACTCAAGATGGCTACAGCCAGAATTCCTAGAGGAGTGTTTTTCAAAGTGATTTCTCAGCAAAATACAGCATGGAGACATGGATGGGGGAGTTTGCTACATTAAAAATGAATGATATAGCGCTTTTGGTTTGCGGTGCTCAGTTGTTGAATAGCTCCGTTTTAGGAGAAGAAAACAAAAATGTTTTTAAAGTGGATGTGTAGGACAAAAAAACGGATAAAAGAGTACCTGTTTCCCACTCCATCTAAAACTGAAAGTGCAGCCCTATGTGCCTGCAAATAACTTTTTGTCCAGAAATGTTTAACCAGGAAATAATGGTATCACACTCACGGCTGTGCAGGGTGGCAGTTAGTGACAGGATAGTTTCTTTTAATATTCTAATCATTATGGCTGGAGATGTATACTTTACCATTTATGCCTTAATTACATTGTTTACCCAGTTCCCTATACCTGGGGGGGGGATGGGGGATAGAAGGGCAGCCTCTCTCATATTGGGTGCTCCAAGCTCACAATCTACTAATGGCTTGCAGCTTGCCTACTGACTGTGCCAACATCTGTAGTCTGGAATGATGTTATCCACCGCTCAGAGTCTGTTCTGTCCTTGGGGTCCTCTTTTTCTCCTTGGGTGTGGCTGGACCCCCTCCCCTGTCAGCTGAGGTTTTTACCACAGGCAAGCACGACTTTATGGCTCAGTTTTCTTCACATCCTTTCCTGTACATTCTATATCGAATTTGCCTATGGCTTTAGAATCTGCAGCCAATGACTCGGAATCTGCTAATCCTTGACTGATGAACTTACCCCAAAGGAGTCATAGGGGTAACTTACTAAAACTGGAACATTCAGAATCTGGTGTAGCTGTGCATGGCAGCCAATCAGCTTCTAACTTCGGCTTGTTCAATTAAGCTTTAAAAATTAACCTGGAAGCTGATTGGTTTCTTTGCACGGTTGCACCAGATTTTGCACTCTCCAGTTTTAGTAAACCTCCCCCATAGTCTTTTAGCGCTTACTGATGCAGTGCACAGCACTCTAAAACTGAGGACAAGCCTGTTGCTTGTACCAGTGCAGTTTCCAATCTTAGGTCATTTAAATCTCATGAGGCTGCAAAGGCCTTTCCAGCTATTTCTCTATGGAGATTTGAAGCATCATGACCCTTCAGTCCCCATATCTTTTGTTTTTCTTGGGCCTGTGTTTGTTTTCTGTGTTGCCCACCCTTCAGTTGGCCTGCTTTTGGATGACCCAAGGTGAAAGACTTCACTTTTGGATTTTTCTACTCTCTGTCAAATGATTTTCTTAGAGTCCGTTGAGGGGCACAGGTCCCATCCCTCTGTGTTGCTACAAAAATGGGAAGTGTTTGCTTGGCAGTGTCCAATGCTCATGTAGATGGCAGTATAATCTGAAGGTTAAAGACTTCCTGTGCTCCTCAATGGACTCCAAAAAAAGTTTTGTTTCCGGAGAGTATACAATTAAATTTTAAATGATCAAAAGGTGAGCTTTTTTGAAACCTTTTACAATTTTTTTAATATTGTGACATGTCTGGACTTTATTTGTGCACACTTGCAAATGTATAAAGTTCACCTTTTTTAACTACATAGAACACAGAGGATGTAATACTTACTCCCCGAGAGAACAGCTCCGTCTCAATATGTACCCATGTTTCTGGCTGCTCCAGGAAATGCATCATCTCATCATAGGAATCTTCAAACTTCTTAGGATTCTAAGCATAAATTTGGAATCTGATTGGTTTCTGTACAGAATACTAGTAAATTTTATTTTTTTTTTGTTTATACTGAAAGTAACACACACTTTCCCTGTAAACTTGCTCTGGCATCCATGGGTACCATCAACTGATAACCAGCTGCAGTATATACAGAAGCAAGAAAATGAAATGTAAAGAGAAGTTCACGAATTTAAAAAAAAAACAAAAAAAAAAAACACACTTGCATACTCACCTACAGTGCCTTGAAAAGGTATTCATAACCCTTGACGTTTTCTACATTTTGTCATGTTACAACCAAAAACCGTAAATGTATTTTATTGGGATTTTATGTGATGGACCAACACAAAGTGGCACATAATTGTGAAGTGGAAAGAAGATGATAAATGGTTTTGTGAAGTGGAAAGAAGATGATAAATGGTTTTCAACATGTTTTACAAATACATATTTATAAAGTGTGATTCATTTGTATTCAACCCCCTTTACTCTGATACCCTTAACTAAAATCTAGTGGAACCAATTGCCTTCAGAAGTCACCATATTAGTAAATAGAGTCCACCTGTGTGTAATTTAATCTCAGTATAAATACAGCTGTTCTGTGAAGCCCTCAGAGGTTTGTTAGAGAACATTGGTGAACAAACAGCATCATGAAGGCCAAGGAACACACCAGACAGATCAGGGATAAAGTTGTGAAGAAGTTTAAAGCAGGGTTAGGTTATAAAATTATTATCCCAGGCTTTGAACATCTCACAGAGCACTGTTCAATCCATCATCTAAAAATGGAAAGAGTATGAATATTTCACAAAAAAAACAGTTGATTCTTAGAGTAGATTTCCTGGGTGGGGCAAACACAGAACTATACTCAGCCAAAAAAAGGGGCAGATTAAATGTACCACTTCGTCTTTTTCTGATATCATTCTTCTATGTTTATATATTTAAAGTGTAATTTTTTTTGCTTTAGATAGATTAGGGAAGGGATTAGATTAGAACCTCTGTTGGATTTTTTACTGATATTCTCCCCCACTTACTGTCACTTTACCAAAAAGTGGACCATACACTTTAAGCCATACCCCTCCTCCTAACACAAAGCCATGTCTCTGTCATGTGAAAGCCAAAGCCTCTACTGCCCACTAGAGTGTTCACATTTGAGGGCTAAATGGCAAGGAGCAGGTACTTGCAACAGAAGTGTGGGGCTTAAAATATAACTAAAGGTGTGTGAGAGGGATTCCAACACCTATTAGGTTTTTATTGCAGTCTGTGCCCCAGTGCGAGATTCTCCCTCTCAGTTTGTCCTGTTTACCATTATAATTGAAAGTGCAAGTAAAGAAAACCCCAAATTGTGGGTTTTGCCTAAAGTTCTACGTTAATCCTAATGGAGCCTGAAGTGAAGGCCCCATGTACAGCACGGGCTTTAAGTCCAACAAAGCTCAACAAGAATTGATTTAAAGACTAACACAGGTACCTAATAATGCTACACCAAATCAATGTTGTTACTTTAGAAATGGTTTAAGCCAGGTTAGCTTCACTTAATGTAAAAAAATCAGGATAATTCAGCAAATGTGTTGTAGAAAATATTGAAAAGATGAAGCTGGACCTTACTAAAATACAAATGGAAATGTTAAAAAAAGATTCTTAAACAACCAGTACCTCACCATGTAGACCACAGGTGTCAAAACACACAAGGCCCTCCAGGCCATTGTATGTGGCCCTTGCACCTCTCCTGCAGGTACCCCCTTGTCTCCACCCCCACCTTGTCTCAGCAGTCAGCAGCAGAGAGGAGAATAGAACTCCTCTGCCAAATCCTGCACCTGTCAGTGCAGCTGCAGCACCCCCTCACCTCTGCCACCCCTGGTCTCAGCATTCAGCAGACTCTGGTAACTGAATCCACTCCTCCTCTGGTACTCCTCCAGATCCTGCACAGTTTCCCAGCTCTGTCCCCAAAGGGGGTGCACAGTGATATTAGGGAGGGTGTGGGATTCTTGACATCTGATGTAATGGGGGGGGGGGGGGGGGTGCTCCTGGACATCTAGTCTTACAGATACAACTGGCCCTTTAAAGGCAACCATAATGCTGATACGGCCCGCGATGAAATAGAGTTTGACAACCCTGATTATTATTATTATTACATCGAGTTTATATAGCGCCAAAGGGTTTGCTCAGCACTGTACAATAGGGGGGGGGGACAATACATGGCACAGTACAACAATAACAAACAACGTATGAGGGGTAAGAGGGCCCTACTCTTTCGAGCTTACAATCTAGGAGGGAGGGGGGTAAAGGTACAGTAGGAAGTGGCTGAGGGAAATGAGGGGTGGGAGGAAAGAGGGAGAATGGCCGTTAGGTGAGGGTGGGGTAGGCATCCCTGAAGAGATGGGTTTTGAGGGAGCGCCTGAATGTGAAGAGGGAAGGCGACAGTCTGATGGATTGGGGCAGTGAGTTCCAGAGGATGGGGGAGGACCTGGAGAAGTCCTGCAATCATGCATGGGAGGAGGAGACCAGGGAGCAGGATAGAAGGAGGTCCAGTGAGGAGCGAAGGGTACGGGTAGGGTGGTACTTGGGGATCAGGTTGGTGAGGTAGTCAGGGGCAGTGTTGTGAACGGCTTTGTAGGTCAGGGTTAGAAGTTTAAATTTGATAAGTTGGGCAATCGGGAGCCAGTGGAGGGAGAGGGGGGTGGCAGAGGTGGAGCGGGTGATGAGGTGGATGAAGACAATAAAGATTTGTATCCATGGATGACAGTGGATTTGTGGCCTGATGTAGTTGTATGGATTGCTACAAGGACTGTGGAAGCACCTGAGCCAGAGCACGGATGGTTTCAGCTCCTTGAGTTCTTAAACAACAAACATTCTCCCCTCCAGCTCATTATAAATCCCTCCCATGTAATTAGGCGAGTACTGAGTCCCAACTGAACCCAGAAACAACAGAGGGACGGAAGAACTTACCTTTTTTGCACGGACAAAAAGCATAGACAGAACTTTTCTACCAGCTTCAACCAAAAAACGTCCTGTTATCTGTTTTTGAAAGGATCATCTGAAAATGAAAAGATAAGAGGAAGTGAACAGCCGGCTGCCAATATGATTCCGAAATCAGGTGGACCAAAGACAAATAGAAGTTGAATGTCACCCATCTTTGCCAAAAATGTCCTTCACGTAGTAATTAACCACTTGAGCTCCTGAGGATTTACCCCCCTTAATGACCAGGCCTCTTTTTGCTACTCGGCGGTGCACTTATTCAACTGATAATTGCGCGGTCATGCAATGCTGCACCCAAACGAAATTTACGTCCTTTTTTTCACACAAATAGAGCTTTCTTTCGGTGTAATTTGATCACCTGTGCGCTTTTTATTTTTCACGCTATAAACAAAAAAAGGCCAAAAATTTTTACGAAAAACAATATTTTTTTACTTTCAGCAATAAAAAATATATAGTAAACTCAAAGTTGGTTATTAATTTAGGCCAAAATGTATTCTGCTCCATGTTTTTGGTAAAAAAAATCCCAATAAGTGTATATTGATTGCTTTGTGTGGAAGTTATAGCGTCTACAAACTATGGTATAGATACTGCAATTTACGCCATTTTTCTGCTATACAGCGCTGCGCTAGTTTAACGGACAATTGCGCGGTCATGCAATATGGTACATAAATGAAATTTACATCCTTTTTTTTCCCACAAATTGAGCTTTCTTTTGGTGGTATTTGATCGCCTGTGCGGTTTTTATTTTTTGCGCTATAAAAAAAAAAGGCTGACAATTTTTAGGAAAAAAAAAACAATATTTTGGAATATTTGCTATAAAACATGTCCAGTAAAAAAAAAAAAAATGCAAAAATCAAATTTAGTCATAAATTTCTGCCAAAATGCATTCTGCGACATGTCTTTGCTAAAAAAAATCCCAATACGTGTAAATTAATTGGTTTACGTGAAAGTTATAGCGTTTACAAATGGCGGGAAAGATACTGGGATTTTTAATTTTTATTTATACTAATAATGGCGTCGATCAGCGAATTATGGCGGCGATCAGTGACTTATGGCAGCGACCAGCGACTTATGGCGGGACTGCGGCGGACATTTTGACACTGGGGGGGAACTGACTTGGGGTCACTGACATCCCCAGTGACACCAATACAGTGATTAGTGAAAAAAAAAAAAAACACTGAAACTGTACTAATGTCACTGGGGAGGAAGGGGTTAACATTTTTAGGAGTTTACTGTGTAAGGGGAGTGTTTTACTAGGGGGCGGGGGTGTGGGAGAGGGGAGAGCTGATCTAGGGAGAGAAGAATTTCTCTCCCTCTTCAGCTTGTCGGGGAACTGTCACAGAGCAGGCTGTGTGTAAACAATGCAGCTCTGCTCTGTGACAGTGATGACAGCTCATCGCGGGAAAACGGCTGGTAAAAACCGGCCGTGACCCGGCGGCTGACACCCGCTGCGGACACCCGTGGGACAGGGAGGGCGGGTGCGCGCCTCACGTGTGCCCCCTACCTGTTTTGCGGGGGTCCGTTTTAAAACGTCGTTTTGCCTACCAGTGCCGCCCTGCCGCCGTACATGTACAGTGGCTGGGCGGCATGTGGTTAAATTACCACCCAATGCCGAGCACAATGGTTTTCGCTAATAACGTGGACTTTGTCTCATGGTAAATCCTAGCATTTTAGCTGGTCAGAGTAGGCATGTTTCCATAGGTGGCAGATGAAGAGAGACAGGTTTTTCCTTTATACGTCTTGACCAGAAATTTCCTATCTATGATTGGTAAGAATAGCCATCTTCTATTTTTTTTTTTTTTTAATTCCAATAAAGATTTATTGAGCAGTGAAAAACAGAAACATAAACAAAAACATAGGTTGTATCAAAACAGAGACTTGCTAGGAGCATCTAGCCTTATAACGAGAGTAAGTCAGACAAAAAAAAACTTAGCATGTAAGTTAAACAAATAAGAATGAGGGGGGGGGGACCCCAAACAAAAACTTCGAGAACTAAGAGGAGGATGTGAGGCTAGAAGGACGAGAAATGAAGAGGTGTTGAGTAAATATGGTTATGAGAACAACATATTGGCAATATCGCACGTAGATTCATGATAGCCCAAACCATGGAATCACTGACATATAGGAAATTTTTGGAACGGTGGGTGTGGAGAAATTACATTTAGGCAAGTTAGTTGCTATTGTGATTCTAAGTCAGATATGAAAATGTTAATTTTAGCATGCTGGAAGCACCGTCCCAGCGAGAGAAAGGGAAAAGAGAAAAAAAAAAAAAGGGGGTAAGGAAGGCGGGGGGGGGGGGGGGGGAAGGGGGGTATCAAGGGAAGTAATTTAAGATATCGAGGAAGAATGACAGAAGGAGGTAGCATTTGTCTCTCACCCTCTCCGCTGGGCACTGAAGGGTCGTGCCCCCCCCCCCCCCCACACCATAGAAGGCCGTGAGGCGAAGGGGAAGGAGCACAAAAGGTAGGTTCCCAATGCCCAATCCCATTCTCAGAGATGAGTAGCCTGGAGAAAACCGGGTATATATGGGGGATTTCATAGGTGGACGGTAATGTCTTTATTGGGGAGGTTTGTCAATCAATACTCTTCAGTTGTCTGGAAATGTGTCCAACAAGCCCATTTAGAAGCAAATTTGGCAGGGGAGTCTCGGGCGATAGAAATGACCATCTTCTACCAATTTATTTACACGTTATCACAATATTTTAAGCCAGGTTAAAACCAGGAGAACATACATTTTTTCTTAGGGTGCCAAAAATTGTGTGTCTGCAGAGATACAGCTAAATACATGCTCCCCTCCCGGGCATGCCTAAGAGCTAGTCCACTAAAAGAGTGAGGATTCAAAAAAAATGTGGTGTACAGGGAAATGATATAACAGTCCCCAATAACCTTCTACCATTGCCTGAGTAGCAGAATACTATGAGGAGCATCTGATGTATGTAATGTCACAGGCTGAAAAAATGTGAATTTCTGGCAAAAGAAGAGAGGTATCTCAACAATTCTTTTTGTGTAGTTCACAGACATCTGAAAGCTATTTTAATGGCTTGTAATGTGTGCCTAAGCTTGAGCTTAAAATATATTTTAAATTAGAATTCAGCTGACAATGCACCGCTCTATTAATATTACAGTATTCCATAGAAGATTGCTGTTAATAAAGGGAGTCTGTGTTTAGAGAAACACAGAGGCCTCATTTACTGACCTCACCTTCTGAAAATGCTACTTTCTAGGCTGTCATGCTATTCTAGTGGTTTAAAACTTTCCCATCTGAATTAAGTATGCAAAAAGGGAGTTTGTGCTTTACTTGCTGCACATTCTTATATATTGTCAAGTGTATATATTGGTGTCAGAGTAAACAAAACAATCAAGCAACTAGCATCTTCAGGAAGAAGTCCACAATATCTGCAGCCCCATATTTCCCTTCCCTTCAGGGCATTGTCATGTCATCTGGGCCAGTCACACAAACATATAAACTTTAAAAGGAACCCAGCAGAAAATAAATATGGTAGCCGACTCTTATTTGGATGCTGCTGAGTCACTCAACAATGAAGCATGGACAAGGATGACAGCCCTGGAGAATACAGCTTTAGGAACAAATCAGCAATGGCAGCTCTTGTATTTCAGGTTCCTTTTAAATACAGAAACAAGAGGAATATACCCCCCCCCTTTTTAGGTTTTACTGCTGTCTGTGCCCCCACAACAGAGATATCCACCACTTCCTGTTCTGTGCCACCCTGAGATCAAGTTGTGACAATGAAACAGGACGTTAGTGAAAATTGCCCCTAAAGAGATGCAGACAGTATTCCAACCCCTCCTCATTCAATTCAAATCTTCAGCTATGGTTGATGTTGGAATTAAACAAGCTTCTGAGTTTCACAAACATATCAGGTACAAATCTGGTTTAAAATTTACCTGGAAGGCCTGACGGATGCAGTGGAGCTTTGCTAGAAAGTCACTGTCCCCTCCACATTCCAGCAGTTCTGTCCTGCAAGAAATATTTAAAAAAATATATAAAATCTGATCATATCATTGATTACTTCTTTCCCTCCATACATTTGCATCATAGCCGGCACAATGCAGTTGACTATGACCATGATTGGACAGGAATAGGACAGAGATGTAGTGGGAAGATATCATGGGACAAGCTTCACCAAGTCAAAAACCCTGATAGATATAATGCAAGTCTTCTAGGCACTAGCTCAATGTAAATCCACATAGGACAACCCCACTGGGCCTTTACACCCATTACAGGTTCCATAACTCTATAGGGCAGTGATGGCGAACCTATGGCACGCGTGCCAGAGCTGGCACGCAGAGCCATCTCAGTGGGCACGTGCCAGGAAGAAGATGATGAGCGCGCATGGACCGGCCATCCAGATCTCGTCCACACTGGACCCCTATCAAACTACATTTCCCACATGTCTCTGGGGCCAGGGTGGGCGTGGACGAGAGGAAACGGCTCCAATGCGGCTCTGGCACCAGGGGTGATGTAGCCGGGGATGAGCGCGGAAGAGAGGAAGAGGCTCCCACACTGCTCCGGGGCCAGAGGCAACGTGTTCAGCGTGGATGGGAATGAGCTGCTGGGCTGGAAGCCACACCGACGCTGCCAGAGGTGAGATTAACTGCTTGCAGTGTCATCCATCAGTGCCCAGCAGTGTCGCCTGTCAGTGCCCAGCAGTGTCGCCCATCAGTGCCACCCATCAATGATGCCCAGCAGTGCCATCCATCAGTGCCCAGCAGTGTCGCCTGTCAGTGCTGCCCAGCAGTGCCACCTGTCAGTGCTGCCAGCAGTGCCACATATCAGTGCCCAGCAGTATCGCCCATCAGTGCTGCCATCAATGATGCCCAGCAGTGCCACCCATCAGTGCCCCAGCAGTGCACCCGTCAGTGCTGCCCAGCAGTGCCACCTGTCAGTGCTGCCCAGCAGTGCCACCTGTCAGTGCTGCCCAGCAGTGCCACCTGTCAGTGCTGCCCAGCAGTGCCACCTGTCAGTGCTGCCCAGCAGTGTTGCCCATCAGTGCTGCCCATCAGTGCCACCCATCAATGATGCCCAGCAGTGTCCAGCAGTGTCATCCATCAGTGCCCAGCAGTGTCACCCATCAGTGCCCAGCAGTGTCACCTGTCAGCGCTGCCCAGCAGTGCCACCTGTCAGTGCCCAGCAGTGTCGCCCATCAGTGCTGCCCATCAGTGCCACCCATCAATGATGCCCAGCAGTGCCACCAATCAGTGCCGTCTGTCAGTGCGTCCAGGTAGGCAAGTGGTTAATTGCAGTGTTGGCACTTTGAAATAAAAAAGTTGGTTTGTGTTGCAGTTTTGGGCACTCGGGCTCAAAAAGGTTCGCCATCACTGCTATAGGGAAACAAATGATATTTAAAGGATAAGTTCACCTTTTGGACAAAAATAATCAATGCACATTTTTTTTGCAGGTAAAAAAAATGTGCATTTATTTTTGTCCAGAGCAGCCTGTAAAGCATTGCACCAGCATTCAGTAGATCACTGATGCCATGCAGGTCTCCTGCAGACCTGTCAGAATATCTGCTTGCTGTACAGGATGTATGGGATGTAAGGGATGTAAGGGATGTACGGTCAAGCAGATATTCTGACAGGAAGCTTCAGTGAACTTGCAGTTCATTCATTCACAGAAATCTGTTTAATTGTATGCTCTTCTGTCTTTATCTAAAGTGCAAATTTGTTTTTATAGTATGGGATAAAGCAGGGATATGAGCCAAATTCCAGGTATGGCAATTTGTACATTGGGACCAATGTAACCGTGTGTGCCATGCCTGTGGGATCTCTGTAGAAGCTGGAAATCAATTTAATAAGCAACACTACTACAATGATTGCCACTAGCTTCTGAGTCCCATGCAAAGTGGCTACCCTCCTGCATAGTGAACACACTCAATAAATGCAAAAAAAAAAAAAAAAGGTTAAAAAAAAAAAAAATATGATCTACTTTCTTATCGATTTATTGATGCTAGCAGCATACGGATTAAAAATAGTCAATGTTGATTGAGAGAGTGAAGTTCCACTTTAAGAAGAAATAGTTTCAATTGTAGATACACATTAAAGGTTTTCTGAAGCCAGCACTTTTTTTTCTTCAATAGACAGAATAGGGAATGGTTAAAGCCCATGTCAGTTTTCTCTTGGCGGTGTCCCACTGAGGAGATATCCTTCCACTTCCTGTCCCAGAGACAGTTCTCACCCAAACAGGAAGCGAGGGGGAAATTTTCAATGGGGGCACCTATCCTACTGACAACTAAAAAGGGATATCGCCTCACTTTGGAGAGATTTCCTCTTACTTCCTCCTACGTTTCAGGACAAGAAAGTGAAGGGAGATCACTCCAAATGGACAGACAGTACAAATAAAAACCTGAGCAAGGCTCTAACCCTTCCCAACTCTAACACTAAAAAAAAAAAAAAAAAAAGAAGTTTTGGGTCTAGATAAACTTTCAATAAACCCAACAGTGAGTTTCAGTCATTCATAATAATAATCAGCCCTGTCGTATGGGCCTCACTTTTTCCAGAACTGATTAGATCACAAACAGCAAGACTACGCAGGAAGGTAAATCTGGTGTCACCCTCACCTGAGTGCCCTGCAGGGGATCCCCCCTTCCTCAGACAGGCACATTGCTTCTTCATATAGAGGACAGTGGTAGAGTGACTGCAGGCCATTCCCTCCATGAAGATCTCTGTGGTCCGCCAGCTACAAGACACAACAGACGGTGTTAGGAAACCCGAGATTGCAATGTTAGTGTGGCTGTCGCTGTCTGCAACCAGTTCAATCACCAATGGCTTGGCTGCCATTTACAGGCAAGAACTCAAGAACGTCTGCTTCCGATCGCCCTAGGCGACTGATGAGGAAAAAAGGGAGCGGTACCTGTCAAATTCGGATACCTCCTTCCCCCCCCACTCCCCAAAGGTGCCAATCCATAACAGAGATCAGGGGATGGGTCTTTAAATCACAACTTCCCCTCCTTTTGGGTGGAGCTCCGTTTTAACAACAAGCTATTCACTGCACATGTTTTGTGGTAACATATGAGCTTTACAGCACGGCAATGGGAAACTGACCGAAGACAAAAACAGGCAGATTTACTAAAACTGGGCATTGCAAAATCAGGTGCAACTCTGTATAGAGACCAATCAGCTTCCAGGTTTTTTTTTTTCAAATCTTAACCATTTGCCGCCCACCCTATGGCTGAATGGCGGCCGGCAAATGTCATCAGCGTTCCGGGTGGACGCAATATGGCATCCTCCCGCTCATGCACAGATTGCGCTCCTGCAGAGCGGCGCAATCTGTCACCGGCCGTGTACCTCGGACACGGCCGATGACAGATCTGAGTATCGGCCCCGTTGCCCGGTACCATGTGACCTGCTGTGACCAATCACAGCCAGTCACATGACAGTTGTATACAATGGATGGCTTCATTTATGCCATCCATTGTATACTAGTGTCTAGCTGTGAATGGTCACAGCTAATCACATGCACGTCATGTGATTAGCTGTGGCCAAATCACAGCTAAGCACAAAAAAAAAAAAACACTGAATGAATCGATGTCATTCAGGTAAATGCTTGCTTATAGCAAAGTAATTCTTTGCTATAAGTAAATTGTGTAAAAAAGAAAAAAAAAAAAATAATGATCACTTCCCCAAAGTAGTACAATGTTACTATGGTAACATTGTACTACTTTGGTCATAGTGAAATATGAAAAAAATCAATCTTAAAAAAAAAGAAAATAAATTTAATAAAAAAAATAATAAACAAAATTAAAAAAAAAAAAAATAATATATATTATTTTTTTTTTTTTTTTTTCCATACTGTCACCAGTCAGTGTCCCTGATCACCGCCATGCCAGTTATATGATGACTCTGTACTGCACTGGTGACAATATGTAAAAAACAAAAAGTGAAACTAATTTTTTTAATTTTTTCATTTTCCGAAAAATTCGGAAAAAAAAAATACTCGCCATGCCTCTTATGAAGTACGTCGGACTGTCTACTTTGCAAAAAGGGGTCATTTGGGGATATCTGTACTGTCCTGACATTTGGGGGATATCTGTACTGTCCTGACATTTGGGGGATATCTGTACTGTCCTGACATTTGGGGGATATCTGTACCGTCCTGACATTTGGGGGATATCTGTACTGTCCTGACATTTGGGGGATATCTGTACTGTCCTGACATTTGGGGGATATCTGTACTGTTCTGACATTCTTAGACCTCAAGAAATTAGATTGGCTGTCAGTACTTCAGGATTGATCAATATTCAGATCTATACCATAGTTTGTGAACTCTATAACTTTCCTACAAACTAAAAAATACATCCTAATTTGGGTTATTTTCACCAAACACATGTAGCAGAATACATCTCGGCCTAAATTTATGAAGAACAATTATTTATTTGCAAACTTTTATAACAGAAACAATGAAAAACTGTTTTTTTTTCAAACTTTTTGGTCTTTTTTTTAATTTTTTTAATTTAGCAAAAAATAAAAACCCCAGCAGTGATTAAATACCACCAAAAGAAAGCTCTAGTTGTGTGAAAAAAATGATAAAATTTTAGTTTGGGTACAATGTTGTATGACCGCGCAATTGTCATTCAAAGTGTGAGAGCGCTGAAACCTGAAAACTGGCCTGGGCAGGAAGGTGTAAAATTGCCCGGCATTGAATTGGTTAATGGACCAAGCTGAAGTTAGAAGCCGATTGGCTCCCATGCACAGCTGCACCAGATTCTGCCCTCTCCAGTTTTAGTAAATCTCCCCCAAAGTGTGTTACTGGCCAGATCACCAGGTGAAATACAGGAAAAAAAAAAAAAAAAAAAAGACTAAAATAAGAAAACTAATGCAGCCATCAGATCTAAGAATTATTAAGCTGCAAAATATTTAACTTTTGTTTTTGGGTTTAATACTGCTATAAATATCTAAAAAAAAAAAAAATCCAGAGATCTATATCTGTGTAATCATTTGCTAAATCTCTCTCTGCTGGTGTGATGAATGTACTGTACCAGTTGCAGTACCCCAGAAGTGCATGCACAACCATCTCATGACCCTTCATATACAGTGTTGTGGTCAGCCTAATACCGGATATCAGACAGGAAATGTCCCAGCGAAGGACACAAAGACTGGATGGAATGGCACATTCATTCCGTGTCATTCTGTATATCCTGTCCTTGTCAGTGATTTATGTCATTTCATAAGCCAGCGACACAGACTTGTGGAATATTTATGTCTGATCTCCAATCTCCATCCCGCTACAGACTCTTGGCGGCGGATTCTGAATCCAGCAACATATAAGCATCTGATGTTTACATTAAAGACTATACGCTAATTTGTCAGTACGAGGCACGCATATTTTCCCTGTATATACAACGGCCATACATGAGATGAATCCATATGGAAAATAACTTTGCCCAAAATGAGGAGATTTAAAGAGAACCTGCCAGTCGTTTTGAGCTTTTATGATGAATATGTCTTGTCTGAGAACAGACCCCCACAAGGTGCCGGTTTCTGGGAACATAGTGAAACTAGTTTCAGAGAGGCACACAGGCTAACAAAGGTAACGGCATACAGAGGCGTCTGCTCTCAGCGGGACTTTTATTATTATTATTACTACACAGGTACTTATATAGTGCCATCAATTTACGCAGCGCTTTACATACAGTATACACACACACATATATATACATACATACACACACACATATACAGTTGTGTCCAAAATTATTCAACCCCCAATGCTGTAAAGGGGTTTAGGGACTATAGTGTACATTTGGAATTGTATTCAGAATCAAATCCTACAAGGACGTTGTAACTACCCAAATGCAACTAAAATGACATCAATTGTTTATGTAAACAGTAGTAAATGGTTCTTATGTGGTTTCTTCATTGCCACAATTATTCAACCCCTTAAAGACTACCACTCTGAAGAACAGAGGTTCATACAGGTGCTTTCCATCAGGTATTGAAAACACCTGTGGATGTCACCGAGCAGCAATCAAGCATAATAAGCACCAATTAGGCAGCTTTAAAATGACTGTGATACTCAGCTCCTTCTAGACATTTACTGGTGTGGTTACAAACATGGTGAAGGCAAGAGAATGGTCCAGGAAGACAAGAGAAGAGGTGATTTCTCTTCACAGGAAGGGCAATGGCTATAAGAAGATTGCAAAGATGTTAAACATACCAAGAGACACCTTAGGAAGCATCATTCGCAAATTCAAGGCAAAGGGCACTGTTGAAACGCTACCTGGTCGTGGCAGAAAGAAGATGCTGACTTCGACTGCTGTGCGCTACCTGAAGCGTAGAGTGGAGAGAAGTCCCCGTGTGACTGCTGAGGAACTGAGAAAAGATTTGTCAGATGTGGGTACAGAAGTTTCAGCCCAGACAATAAGACGCACACTGCGTAATGAAGGCCTCCGTGCCAGAACTCCCAGGCGTACCCCCTTGCTGTCTCCAAAGAATAAGAAGAGTCGACTGCAGTATGCCAAAAGCCATGTGGACAAACCACAAAAGTTGTGGGATAGTGTTCTGTGGACTGATGAAACAAAATTAGAACTGTTTGGGCCCATGGATCAACGCTATGTTTGGAGGAGGAAGAACAAGGCCTATGATGAAAAGAACACCTTGCCTACTGTGAAGCATGGTGGAGGGTCAATCATGCTTTGGGGCTGTTTTGCTTCTGCAGGTACAGGGAAGCTTCAGCGTGTGCAAGGTACCATGAATTCTCTTCAGTACCAGGAGATATTGGATGGAAACGTGATGCAGTCCGTCACACACCTGAGGCTTGGGAGACGTTGGACCTTTCAACAGGACAATGATCCCAAGCATACCTCCAAGTCCACTAGAGCATGGTTGCAGAGGAAAGGCTGGAACATTTTGGAGTGGCCATCGCAGTCACCAGACTTAAATCCGATTGAGAACCTCTGGTGGGACTTAAAGAAAGCAGTTGCAGTGCGCAAGCCTAAGATGTGACTGAACTGGAGGCCTTTGCCCATGAAGAATGGGCGAAGATACCCGTAGATCGCTGCAAGACACTTGTGTCAAGCTATGCTTCACGTTTAAAAGCTGTTATAACTGTAAAAGGATGCTGTACTAAGTACTAAGATTGAATGTCACTTGGGGGTTGAATAAAACTGATAATGCTGTGAGCACAGAAAAGACATTTGTGGTTATTTCATTATAACTGTTATGTTATATTTGTCTGACCTACAAGTGCCTCTTTAATGTAAATGTAAGCAAGATGACTGAATGATCAAAAGCAATGTCAAACTGGCCAAAACACTCAATTTCAGTGGGGGTTGAATAATTTTGGACACAACTGTACATACACACACACACACACACACATATACACATACATATACACACACACACACACATATATACATACATACATATATATACATACATATACACACACACACACATATATACACACATACATATACACACACACACACATACATACATAAATACACACACGCATACATATATATATATTACATTCACATCAGTCCCTAGCCTTCAAGGAACGTACAATCTAAGGTCCCTAACTCACATTCATACATACACATACTAGGGACAATTTAGACAAGAGCTAATTAACCTACCAGCATGTCTTTGGAGTGTGGGAGGAAACCAGAGTACCCGGAGGAAACCCACATAGACACAGGGAGAAACATGCAAACTCCAGGCAGGTGGTGCCAT